TCTCTCTCTCCCTCCCTCCCTCTATCTCTCTCTCTCTCTCTCTCTCTCTCTCTCTCCACACACACACACACAACACACACAGACATGCACACAACACACACACACACACACACATACACACACACACACATACACACACGCGCACACACCAACACGAGCACATGTGCATGTACACATACTACAATACATAAATTAATACTCAGCAAGCACAAACAATACATAAATTTACACACTACCACACTCAAACATAAACGCACATATCTATATTCGCTATCCACTCCCTTCTGATGCAAATCTCCAATAAACCATTGAACAAAGCCAAAACCCGATACTAAAATTAAACTTTTTCTGTGGAAAACTCTGGAACTCTGATAATAAAGATCGAAATAATAATAAAACGGTTTTCTTGTTTCAAAACGAGGCAGGCCCTTAAACGACCAAAGTTCAACAACTGCTGCAACAACAAGAGCGACGACAACGACACATCTTCATCATCATTTAAAAGCCCACAGTACCGGTCTTTGTGTCTGCTCTCTCTCTTTCTCTCGCTTTCACCCTCTAAGCAGACAAATGAAACTTGAAAGACGCCGAGGAGTCAATAAGCCAATTGATCGTAGGCAATTTCACCATCGCCCACCTCGACACTTAAGCCACACTGTTGGCGCCATTTTCTCGAGTTGCAAACGAGGCAGAGTTGGAAAGAACTCTCTTCAAAGCGGAAAACATATTCAAGCGTTTATTTCCGTTTTCAAGTTACGTCGCCTCGTCACTCGAATCTCCACTCCTTCTCCGTTGCAAGTGGCCGGATGGCATTCTCCTGAAGGTCAAGTGGGGTATTCAGCATTAAGACAAAGCCGATATGATGGAAAGCTAAGTTAAAATATTTATTAGCGAGAATTACGGCGTGGAGGACTTTTGTTCTGGCACTTTTCACCACTTTCATTTCTCCCTTTTCAAGATCTACCTACCCAGTCGACCGATGGAACTTTCATGTCCTCACGCACGTGACTTTTTCTCCACAAGTAAACGAGAACTCATCGAAATAGAGAGTGAGAGAGACGCCAGGACACAGAGAGAGAGAGAGCGAGAGAGAGAGAGAGAGAGAGAGA